AGGGATTAGGGTTTAGAGTTCTAGGGGCTTCAATGGTTCGAACAGCTCTTTAGTGGTTTCGCCGTTGCTTATCCTGGGGTTTCAGACGGGATTAATTGAGTTTCATAGAATAGGGTGAGAGAGCCTAGGAGGGTTTTATAGGGTTCCTCTAACAGTTTCTGCAGGGGTTACTCTACTTTAAGGGTCTTAAGTCTTTCGGATTTTAGACATGGGCCGCATAGGGTTTGTTACAGGTCCTCCGGGGTTGGCTCGGGTTTAGGGTTTAGGGTTGGGTTTCAGGAGATTGGTTTGTTAGCTGTAGATGCCGGCCTCGGAATGCCCCAAACCCTAAAACACCCGGAACCTCCTGAATCCCACGGAGCCGGTTTAGGGTTTAGGGTTTACCTTAAGAACCCAAAACCTACTTTTTGGTAGGGTCCCTATAAATCCCATATTAGGGTTTATAATAAGAACCGGGTTCTTAAGGTAGGGTCCCCCCCAAAATGTTGTTGCCTTAGTTGGCGCAGTTTGAAGCACAAGCAGGAGCGAGGAGATGTTTGTCGACTTAAAAGAGAGGGTGGGAGAGAGAGACAGAGAGATGTGTACCTGTGTGTATATATCCATATAAGTCTATATACTTATTATATGGGTGGTTGTCAAAATTATGGTCCCTTTTTGGGTCCTTATCTTAATACGGCACCTATTATTTAGGGTACCTCAAAAGGGACCATAATTTTGACAACTACCCATATAAATATCCAAAAATGTATGCATATACATCTGTCTCCATCTCGAGCGGGCGAGAGTCTCCAGAGAGAGCCCTGTAGTTACGTGCGTTACGAAGCTCGACTAAACCCTAAACCCTAAACCCTAAACCCTAAACCCTAAACCCTAAACCCTAAACCCTAAACCCTAAACCCTAAACCCTAAACCCTAAAACCCTAAGCTCGGGTTCCCCCCGAGATTTTCGGAAGGTCGTCCTCGGAAGTTCACATCCTTAGGCGTGTGCCAGGATACGGCTGATGGACAAAATCCTGCATGACCTTATATACCTAAACTATGGGATTTATGGTGCTATACTATATTGGGGTCATGCAGGATTTTGTCCATCAACAGTATCACCAGTGTTCGAAGTTGAACGCGACGACTTTGCGTCCGCAAGACGCCAGAAGAAGCCTAGGGCCCTGAATCTACACTGAATCTACACCCCTGCACTGAGGCAGTGCCGGGAGAAGGTGAACTGCGCCTGCTTTACGTACTACGCACATCTGCACCACGGCACGTTAACATGGGTCGATACAAGTGAAAGTTTGGGCATGACTTCTGCGAGGGTTGCTGTTTAGAGTTTCGGACACAGGGCCGCGAGGATAGTTGAATTGACTACTGACGAGTCGAAACAAGGAAACACGAGGCAGTGTCAACGATTATCCATGTAGTTGACTCATCCGCATGCCCTAAAACCCTATACACCCTAAACCCTCAACTGTCGAGTCCAACAAGGCTTTGCCCTAAACCCTAAACTGATTGAACATCCACGCCCTGCCACGCGGAACCCTGGGCTGCGCCAAGGTCCAAGTGTAGTGCATGCTTCATTATCAGAGGGTTTAGGGTTGAATGTCGGGGCCTGAAGAATTACCTATACTATTTGGGAGGTTCTTTTGTATAATTATAGTATGATGGGCCCCAAAACCGTATTCTAATTATTATGGCCATTCTAATTATTGAGGCCCCTATGTTAGGGTTTTATCACTTCCCATGATAATCAACATGATAGGTCTGTGTCTGCAAAAGCATTCCAACCAGCAATTTCCTTTCGAGAAGACGGGCTGCAGCTAGGGCTGGGGGTTTAGGGTTGAGGGTTTAGGGTTTTGGGTTTAGGGTTTAGGGTTTAGGGTTTAGGGACCCTAGCCCGCTTGAAGCCTTGCTGAAGCCCCAAAATCGCACCGACTCCAAACCAGTGACGCCAACCGTCCTGCCTCACAGTTGCAAGGGCACACCCTGCCTCTATATATGTAATATAACCTAATGACATGAAGCGTAGTGGGGCATAGGGTAATGTAGGAACCTGATTAAGAAACCCTGGCCCTATAACCACAAAATGTTAGGTTCATATCAGGAACCTCAATAAAGACCAAAGGTTTCTTAAGCAGGTTCCGAGATTAGGGTTCAGAGTCTGCGGTTTAGGGGTTTTTGGGGGCTTTTGATCCCAGGAAAGCGTGCCACTTCGCCTCTGCCATGTCCAACGTCCGGAAGCACACACCGGGCCCCCCGACCCTTCAGTTCAAGCGGGTTTTGCGTTTCAGGTGAGGGTTTAGGGTTTAGGGTTTAGGGGTGTCTGAGTTTTCGGATTAGGATTCGGGGGCGACAGTCCGACAGGTGTATAATATCGGGGCCTAAGTGATGGCCAAAACACGGAATCGACCGTCCGCAGTTTCGGGTCCACTGAGATCTTTGAGACTTGTGCGTGCCTTCTGCAAGACTGCGATCATGGAGACCCACCATACCAGAACCCAACCGCCAGTAGTAAGCAGCACTTGCGGTGCCTAAGCCCCAACCCTACTTGGAGGTTCATGGGTAGTTATAAGTGGAGGTATAAGTATCGTAACTATAGTTACAATTATAACTACCCATGAACCTCCAAGTAAACCCCCTCATCCAGTGAGAGTCGGCCTGCTCAGGTTTCGTGGGTGGGAAGTCTTACTGTGCTGCCTGGCTGAGGTTAAATAAATCAAGGGCCTTAATAATTAGAATAGGCTTCCTTTAAAGGGATCCTTAAAGGGTTCTAGAAGAGATCTAGAATAGGGCTCTACATTAGAGGCCTTAATAATTAGAATAGGGTTTTGGGGGCCGTTATACTAGAATTATGATAAGGGGCCTCCAAAATAGTGTTGGCAATTATTTAGGCCCCTACATTAGGGTTTAGGGTTTGCGGTTGGCGTCTTTGCTTCAGGTCGGAGGTCTAGGGAGCAGGTCCTGTTGGGAGTATGTTGCGCAAATATGAGGTCTGAGTCTCAGAGGCTTGAAGATCCCCTTGTACTACTTATCCTTATACGTACGGTGTAGGGTTCAGGGTTTAGGGTTATACAGTTTGTTTATAACATACACTGAAAGCCCTATTCTCATTGTGGAGACTCCTATACCACACTTCTATCGGACTGTTGGAAAGTGGTGAGGCTCCTCTGTCAGTAGGGTTTGCCGACTCGAATCCTCGTTTGTCATGAGTGACTCGGCCCCTGTATGAGAGCAAATTCAGGGGCCTCTAGTCTATGGGTTTAGGGTTTAGGGTCTATGCAAAAAGATGTAATGACACACCCTTGTGCCTCCAAAAGTCTTCTAAAGTCCCGAGACTTAACCCAAAGCCCAAAACGACAAATCCTAGACACCGTAAAACCCCGCCTAAAGGCCCTAAGCCTGTAAGCCGACCTTCGAAAACGAAGCTTCAAGGACAAACCCTTGCAGGGTCTTCACCCTCACACTGTGAAACAGCTCATTCTGAAGAGGCCGGCCCAGGGTTTTTCGTTGTAGAGGGTTTAGGGTTTAGGGTTTAGGGTTTAGGGTTTATGGTTCAGGGCTTGCGGTTTAAGCTTCAGGACTTTAGGCTTCAAGGTTTCGGGTTTGAGATTTGCTTGAGGGTTTAGGGCTTCTGGGTAGGGATCCTGTAGAAAACATCCATATTCTTGCCGGCACAGCCTCACCCCCAAGACCCTAAACCCTAAACCCTAGACCCTAAACCCTAATCCCTAAACCCTAAACCCTAAACCCTAGCCCCTCAGCCCTTTTTTCCTCGAACCTTTTGCCTTCCTCGAGATGGGTTTGGTTCAGGGTGCTTGAAAGCGCCCTCGGGCTTGCCTGGGGTGTTGTTGGAAATAATTTTTAAGTTTTAAGGATTATAATCCATATATATCTATATATAACCCATAAGAATTTAATTTTTATAGGGCTTCTGAAGTCGGCCCAGTAAGCTCTGAGGCGAACGGAGAAGGACTTATATACGGAAAAAACCTTCATTTGCATCTTTGCCCAAAGTGGCTCGAGACGTCCCCTAAACCCCCAACCCTCAACCCCAAACCCTATGGCTAGAGACGTCCCCATGAACTTCCTAAACCCTGAGCCCTCAGATAAGCCCTGCACAATCACAAATCCGAACCTCCAGTTCTGCCCTCGACGCAATAGTCCCAAAGCCCTACAAGCTTCGGCTGGGTTTAGGGTTTAGGGATGTTGAGGATTTTGGCATGCGTCTTTCCGAAAATCGGCACTTTAACGATTTCAGTGCGGCCGTGGTTGGATTGCAACTACGTAAGGTCCGCTCCTGAGCCCTACACCCTGAAGCCCTAAAAATCCAAAACCCTAAACCGTAAACCCTAAACCCTAAACCCTGAATGAAAGCCCCAGTTCAGGAAGTGCATGTCGGATGTCTCCTTCTTGCAGGCGATGTGCACGAGCCTGCGGCCTGAAACATCTTCCGATCCACAGAAATATGAGGCTAGGGGCCCTAGATAGAAACTGCGATAATTATAATAATGAGGGTGATAGCCATACATGACAAGGAAAATCATACATAACAAGAAAAATCGCAATAGTAGTAGTAGTAGTAGTAGTAGTAGTAGTAGTAGTAGCAGTAGCAGTAGTAGTAGTAGTAGTAGTAGTAGTAGTAGTAGTAGTAGTCGTAGTCGTAGTAACTACATGAAGAATATCAATAGCAGCAGCAATAACCATATCGTTAACCGTAGTATGTAGCAAGGCCATGTAAGGAGATCAGTCATAGACACAGTAAAAGTAAAAGTAAGCGTAATAGTGATAGTAATAGTAATAGGAACAGGAATCGTTATCGTGATCGTAATGAGAATGGTAATGGTAATGGTACCACTGCTAGTATTAGTACTCGTAATATATTAGGAATAGTACCAGTACCAGTAACAGTAGTAGTACTAGCAGTACTCGTACTAGGGATACGAAAAGCAAAAGTGAAAGAGTAGTACTAGCCATGGCAATGCTAAGCCCGGAAATTCAACTGGAAGAGCAAGGCTAATTGTATTAGTACCAGTACTTGGAGGTTCAGGGGTAGTTAGAAGTGGAGTTATAAGTGGGGCAACTATAGTTATAACCCAAATTAGGGGACTTACAACCCCATTTATAACTACCCATGAACCTCCAAGTAACTGTGATAGTTTCAATTATAATAATAAGAATAGCAATCAGGCTTTGGGATATCTGATACTGTAGCCAGATCGTGCAAGACCTTTACGCCCCCATATTTTTCGGTGCAGTGGTTGAGGTTTTCGGATATTGGGGCTTCTTTACCAGCGAATCCCGAAAACACTTTCTGCAACCTTTTGCCCGCCAAGTTCGTGCACCCACCGCGTACCTTGACGATCCCGTCGACTGCCAGCAGAGGCAAGCGATGTTGTGAAACAGGTCTTGCGCTTGGGGCGTTCCAGCTCCATCCATCTTGTACGAGGGAGCTTTCCGCTAAGGGTCATCTTTGGCCATCTGCCGCTTGCATGAATGGGTTATGGAGTTGCTTTGCAGCATTCGTTTGCAGCAGATTTTACTTGAACGCGGAAGCTTAGCACGGTTTTACAAACGACCCTACTGTTGAACAGCCTTAAACCCCAGTAAACCCTAAACATTCCTAAACCCTAAACCCCAAGCCCCGTACCCTAAGCTTCCCTAAACCGTAAACCCAAAGCCCCGAACCCCTCACTCCATGGCAAGCACCAGAGTTGTGGGAACCTGAGGGTTTCTAGAGAATCCCAAGCTTGAGGTTGTCAGGATATGGGGTTCATTCCGGGTGCAGGGTTTAGGGGTTTGGGGGTTTAGGGGTTCAGGGCTTCGGGTTTCGGGATTAGCATTTAGGTGTTTAAGGTTTAAGATGTTTCGGGTTTTTTGGGGCTTAGGGATGTTCAGGGTTGAGGGTTTAGGGGCATTTGCATTTTGGTATGGCTTGCTGCATCCTTGCGCTCGCAGGTCGTCCCACAGTGACCGTCTGCAAACCCTAAACCCTAAACCCTAAACCCTAAAACCCTAAACCCTAAACCCTAAACCCTAAACCCTAAACCGAAGTGAACGAAGTCCTGGAACCAAAAGACGACCAGACCTGGAGTCACGCTTTCTGAAGAGCTCGTTTAGGGTTTAGGGTTTAGGGTTCAGGGTTTAGGGTTTAGGGTTTAGGGGGTTTAGGGTTTAGGGTTTAGGGTAGTTCCATTCAAGGAGTTCAGGGTTTAGGGTTTAGGGTTTAGGGGGTTTAGGGGGTTTAGGGTTTAGGGTTTAGGGTTTAGGGTAGTTCCATTCAAAGGAGTTCAGGGTTTAAGGGTTCCTCTAAGGGTTTAGGGTCATAGCTCATCCTTTGGGCCGTTGAGATTCAGGGTACGTGTCTTACATTCTGCGGTTTACTCGTTCTACCCCAAAGCCCCACATTTTGCGAGTTTAGGGTTTAGGGTTTAGGGTTTGCGTACCCCAAAGCCCCACATTTTGCGAGTTTAGGGTTTAGGGTTTAGGGTTTGCGATGCTATGCTGCTGTAACTGTGAAAATACACCTTAGCTGGACGGCTGCAATTGGTATGTTCTCACAGCTTTGTGCTCCGTGGGGTTCATAGAAAGGTTCACAGGTCAGGCAGGGCATGTGGTGCTTTGGGACGTTCGAAATATGCCAAGCTGGGTGCATGCATGTGGCATTCCCTGTCGAGTTGCTGCGGCAGTCGCACCGTTTGCTTGGTCACAGGTGTCAAGACCACCACTGGTGCAGCAGCTTTGCCTACAACACGCTGACGAAGAGCTGTGTTGCCTGGATGCACCTGAAAGAGCAAACGTCTGCTGCTGCCATGTATCTTTGAATCTACAACCCTGCATCCTAGACGGTGGTTTTAAACATCTCAGTTCAAATTGCAAAACTCATGAACAACCCTTCCTACTAACCAGTGAAAACCACTGACCCCAAGCCCGATACCCTAAACTTCTGAAAGCGTGCAGAGCTAGAGCATCCCGGAGTTTACCGGCCAGCATGCTGGGTTCAGGCGATGATGTGCAAAGCATTGTTCTGTTTGCCTCGCATTTGTCAGTGTCACTTTGCATATGCAATGCATGCCTGTTCACGATCTCTCTCTCTCTCTCTCTATCTATATTCTCTCTTATTCAACTGCCTGACATACTAGCTCGAACTGCCCACTTGTTTGAGCCTTAGCCCCACGACCAAGGACAAGGCAAGGGTAGGCTTTCCTGAACTTAGCGGAGATCTGTGGAAATTGGATTTGGGGTGTGTTCAGCTGAGGGGCTTGGAAACTTGGGGCTTAGTGTTTAGGGTTTGGGGTGTCTAGGGTTTTAAGAGGTTTAAAGTTGGAGCGAAGAGTTCTAGGGCTCTTAGGGTATAGACGGATTCTGAGGCAGCAGAACCCTGAGAAAGGCGGCCAGATTTGGAGGAAGGCCTCACCCACGTCCACAAACCGCGCCAAAAACTGGTTTAGGGTTCGGGGCCCTAAACCCTAAACCCTAAACCCTAAACCCTGCGCCCTGAACCCAAAATATCGGGCCCTGAGCCAATCGGACCCTGACAACAAGAATAAGAACCAGCCCAAGGCCAGGCTTAGCCCTAAACCGCAAAACTCCATGCCCAAAGCCCTGCATGATCCTATTACAGGGTTTAGGGTTTTATTTTTATTTTTAATAGGGCTTTTAGGGTTTATAGGGTTTAGGGCTTTTAGTTATAGGGTTTAGGGCTTAGGGTTTAAGTTTAAATAAACACATGGTATCCGAAACCCGAGCTTCGCGTGGGTGCCAACGTGCCACCGAGGACCTGCAATGCGCAAATGCAACGCCGATCCATGCGCCGGTATACGCTATGTGCTCTGACGGTAGTAGGGTTTATGGTTTAGGGTTTAGGGTCCCAGGGGCCCAAAAGATCACGTAGACATAATGTATCTTAGAGCTAGCAGGGTTTCTGGAATCATCCGCGGTATGGCGGCAGTTGTTCCCGGAACATCGATTCTTTGTGTTAGCCTGTTGTTTAGCTCTGAAAACTCCGAAGCCACAGGCCTTACCTACCTCCTGCAAGTGCTGCAAGTGCTGCACTGACTTCATTTTAACCCAGGAAACTCTACTTGGAGGTTCATGGCTAGTCATAGCTGGGGTTATAACTTCCTTGATCGGGGTTACGATTATAGTTACCCTACCTTCAAAACCACTTATAACCACCCTAAACCCTGAACCCTACAGACCCTTAAAGGAACCCTATCACCCCACTTTTAACTACCCATAAACCCTAAACCCCAAACCCTTAAACCCTAAACCCTAAACCTCCACGTGTAGTTATAAAGTCTAAACGTCATTGCGGAGTCTGGGCTGCTGGGTTACAGTTCGCGGCTTCTGTGGCGGGTTGGGGGTTTTGGGTTTAGGGGTTTAGGGTTTAGGGGTCTGGGGGTTTAGGGTCTGGGGGTTTAGGGTCTAGCAGGGGCTTTGGCACTTAGGAGGGACAGACCGAGAGGATGGGGTTTGGCAGGTCCCC